ATACAGTGGTGTGAAAAAGTGTTTGCCCCCTTACTGATTTCTTATCTTTTTGCATGTTTGTCACACTGTAATGTTTCAGATCATCAAACAAATTTAAATATTAGTCAACGATAACACAAGTAAACACATCATGCAGTTTTTAAATGAAGGTTTTTATTATTAAGGGAAAACAAAATCCAAAACTACAAAGCCCTGTGTGAATAAGTGTTTGCCCCCTAAACCTAATAACTGGTTGGGCCACCCTTAGCAGCAACAACTGCAATCAAGCGTTTTCGATAACTTGCCATGAGTCTTTTACAGCGCTGTGGAGGAATTTTGGCCCACTCATCTTTGCAGAATTGCTGTAAGTCAGCCACATTGGAGGGATTTCTGGCATGAACCTCCTTTTTAAGGTCATGCCACAGCATCTCAATTGGATTTAGGTCAGGACTTTGACTAGGCCACTCCAAAGTCTTCATTTTGTTTTTCTTCAGCCATTCAGAAGTGGACTTGCTGGTGTGCTTTGGATCATTGTCCTGCTGCAGAACCCAAGTTCGCTTCAGCTTGAGGTCACAAACGGATGGCCGGACATTCTCCTTCAGGATATTTTGGTACACAGCAGAATTCATGGTTCCATTTATCACAGCAAGTCTTCCAGGGCCTGAAGCAACAAAACAGCCCCAGACCATTACACTACCACCACCATATTTTAGTAAGGGGGCAAAAAGATAAGAAATCAGTAAGGGGGCAAACACTTTTTCACACCACTGTATATATTTTCTCTCTGTGACATGTCTGGTGTGTGATCAGACAACATTCCTTCCAAATACCCCAGAGGAACCACTCCGTGAAAAAGTAAGTCCAAGTATAAGTGGGAGAACTTGCAAAATCGCAGGGTGTTCAAATACTTCTGTTCATCACTGTATAAGTACAAGTACGTTGCCTTTGTAAATCCTCCAAAGAATATCCCAAAAAAATATCTTGCAACCAGCTGCAATTACTTTGAATCATTAATTAGCCGGTGCAGTATCAACAGCAGACTGCAGTCCTGTTCTTTCTTGAGCCTTACATCATCCCCCTCAGTCTTCACAAACCAGATGTTTGACATCAAGCACAAAGGAACTCATCCTTAAGCTTCCTTCTTATAGCAGAGGTATGAATCAGAAACAACACAACAGTCTGCATGCAGCCATTCCTAAGACCAACCTCTGACCCACTTTGATATTTATAGGACACTGGAAAACCCATGTGCACTGTAGGCTGGCCCAAATGTGCACAGACCCTCTGGTGTGTTCTCAAAATATCAGCTATATTTCATATTTTGTTCACCTTGAAACTGGGGTACAACAGGAGCAGTGCAGAGTGAATCCTAGTCACTGATAACTGAGGTGGATAATGTAGCTGCAGAGTGTGATGTACCGCCATTGTTCGGTTTACACGTGAAACGCTATTTCGCTTTCACTGTTCTCTTGGGCAAAATCTGACTAAACATACTCAGTTGTAACCGTGGGACAATCCTAACTCCACCGGGTTCTTGTGGACAGAAGCAAATCATTGCTGTCACAGGAAAATATTTGAGCACAACTGAGCACAGGATAAGCAGAAATGGTAACTTCCAACTGAAATGCAAGCCTCACCATTTCATTTTACTAATTAAGGGGCCACAGAGTGATTTCCATCTCCATCTCACCCCTGTGGTAACTGCAAAACCTCCAGAGTAATGAGCTTTACAGAAGGACAAAACAAAAGTGTGGGTCATTTTTGGAATCAAGAGATGTAGGACTTAAATACATCATCTTCTACTTTCGACTGCTCCCATTAGGGGTCGCCACAGCAAATCATCAGTTGCCACCCAACTGACAATTCACATGTTAAACTTTGCATGCTTTACGTTGCCCTTCCAGGTCTTTGGACTGTAGGAGGAAACCGGAGCACCCGGAGAAATAGGACTTAAATGCATATTCCTCTAAAACAGACCAGACTTTGGCAGTTAAACAAAAATACTATAAAAGCTTTGATATAACTGAGGTATGGTCATAAAACTGAATCTATGCTGGCTGTTTTGTTATAGGGGTTTTTTTTGGCACGGGGGGGTCCCCATCTAAATCACAGTAAGGGAATAAAGACTATGACCACAATGAATGGATTATTGGCTAAAGAACAGACAGGAAAGAAAAATGAGGCTTACACTCCAAAAACCCTCAAACATGTCCCTTAGAACTTGCATATGCTGTTAGCCGGTGGCTGCAGGGAGTTCAAATGGTAGTATTGTGGCTACAGCTACGGTGCAACTGCCACATCACACTTAAATGCCTCCTTGGCATCATTTACTGAAATGGGATCCTGCCCACCCTGCACTAAGGACCAAGACGTGGCAGTTAACAGCATTAGATACCCACTTACAAACAAAGCTCATCTGTCCAAGTTTTACTGAGATATGTTCTTTACTCGTTTCATTCTGCCTAAAATCTGCAATCCCAAAGCTGTGCTGTTCTCACATAGGAGCTTCTGTCCAAAGCTTGATCCAAGAAGATAAACTGCAGCAGCTCTACCATATTTAGCTTCACATCTGAAAGAATGTGGTCAGTTACTTTTGATACTGAAGCATTACCTTGCTTCGAGAGTAACAGAAGTTTAGAAAAGTAACAGGGAAACTTTTCCTTTACCTCGTTTCAACCTGGGGACAGGTGACGCAAGCGAATGAGAGGTGGCATCCGATTTTGTGGGGTTAGTCAATCTCTGGTCTGGATCCTTCTTAGCTGGAGACTCCATTCTCTGGGTGGCGTCTGTTTTCGGGGGGCAGCTCTCCCCCTCCGGGTCAGGCCTCGTAAGGTGTGTGTTCAGATCTGAGTGGGGAGCTGATCAAAGAGACAGAATAAGGTTAAAATGTTGGCACAGAAATGGAACTCAACCAGTCGGCCTTCATTCCAGCCTCTTCTGGGTCTGTGAAATTGATCTGTGCTGATGACAAACTTCGTCATGGATGATTCAGGTGTACATGTGACTGTAAGGAAAAGACAGTTGTAAGGAGAAACACTTTTTCAATACTGTAACATAATGAAACAATCCACACACATCTGTTTCTGTGTTTCTTTTAGTTGTTAAGCTGCATTATCTGCAGCGGCGATGACATGATTCACCCAGAAGCAAAAGATAACAGGCCTTAAGCCTACTCTTCTAACTCTCCGCCTAATACCACATCAACTCTGTAAGGCTGATTTATCAGCAGACCTGCCTGAGAAAATGGCCCGACTCCCTGACAGAATAAAACACAGTAACGGCTTTTTGGCATCCGGATGATTCTACTGAGGTGAAATGAACTGCTTAGGACAAAGTAGTCAACCCTCATTTTGATGAAAACTACTCAACAGCACTCATACCAATATTTGGGCAAACCCATGCACATCATCACTGGAGTGAATCTAAAATGATTTAAAATGAAAACCTGCTAGCTACCTAACATCACCAGTCTTAAACTGTGGGAAATGTCAGCTCATATTAGCTAATATTAACTAGCAAGCTAACCATGTCTTCTGTTAACTACAGGCATTCACATTGTTAGCAGGAATAAACAAAAAATGGGTGGATAGGCCTAAACCAAATTATGAGTTGAATTTCAGGCTAGAACCCCCATGAAAATGGAACCAGCATCAGGCAAGAGAAGCAGAGCAGGCTGATGAGAGAACAGGTGCATCTTCAGTGTTTCAGGTCTCTATCTATGAATTATAGGGAAGCATCAGCAGTAAAGTTATTCTCAGAATGTGCAACCTTTGCTCATGAGTTTATTTTGGAAAAAAAAAACTTGCATCAGAACAAGTTGGTTTCATAAGATCCTGTTCACTCATGTTTAAAACTGCCCTCAAAAATAAATGGGACTCAAGTAAGAAATATAGATCTTAAGGTTGGAGCGGGGGGGATGTTGTGTCCCTACCCTTGTTGAGACCAAACCTAGGCCCTTGCTCATCACTCATCTGCATTCACTGAGATTTTAGCTATTTTAGTAAAATAACACCTGGACTGGTTTGTTGGGACAGCAGCTTCATTCACAGCACCATGACTCACATTTGGCAGACTGCTGAACTTGAATCTCCCAAGCATTAGTCTGTCCAGGCTTTGACAGTCAAACAAAGATCCTCATGGGAGGGACACTTGGCTTTGCCCACTCAGCACTGTACCCCTGAGCTCACTGTCGAGCCATGTTGGATAAACACTGGGGCAACATGCTGTAAATTATTCTGAGTTTGGCTAAAAACAACACAGACTACAGGGGGCTGTCACACTGAGACAGCGAGTGCACTGAAGATTTACTATACAAACGCTGTGCTATTCAACAGTTTGCAAAGACATGCACCAATGAGGAGTGAGGCCAGTGCTGTGCAACTTTAAAGAGAAGTGATTATTGCTTTGTATACCGTATGCAACTGTACAGTGTGCTTCTTAAGCCATAAACATCTCCAAGAAAATGAGCCATATCGTTTTTGTCTTGTTTTTTTTTTTCCAAACTACACTCTTGTGAGTAAAACTTATTAAACCAAAGAGACACAAAGGTCTGCGTGAACAGCAATCAGCTTCTCTCTACTGCAGTTAGCATTCACTAAGATATCTGGCCTTATGGTAAAGACTGTCTGAGCTAATCTAGGCACATGGAAAGCCTGTGTCATCAGTCTGGGAAACAGAGGCAGTTACTGATGACCCCGCGCTGGACAAAGCCTGATAGACAGAGAGAGAGAAAGAATAGCAGAATGAGTCTATGGAAGAGCATGCCGCTATTAAATAAGCATTCCTCGGGCACCGATGTGCTCTGACAGAGAGGGGCCATTGTTGTGCTCTGCATGGCAACGGGACAGCAGCCAAAATGCTGCAATGACAAGTGAAAGGGGGAAGGAGTGGCAGTGAGATAAGCTGAAAGTATAGAAGATGAATATGCATATCTTCACTTGTTTGGTCATTTCTGTGTGTTTTAGTACAAAATCCACAAAAGTGGGAGCCAGTGATGTATTCAGTGATAACCTGACTCCAGTAAAACTGCCTCCTTATGGCTTTTCTATCACCATTTGTCTGTTACTGTATGTAATACTGCAGCCATCGACCAAACGATGTTGCACACAACTCCAGGTCTTTTATTACTGTGACTAATCAAGTACTGTAACAAATAATACAACCCTTGTCTCTGAATTTTAAACCATTTTCTCACAGAGCCTTTGAGGTAGATATAACCGAGCAGCAAAGGTGACAGGAGCAAGTGCAGCTCTGGCAGATGGGTATTGTGTTGCTTCAGATCCTGTGAGCATTTTACAGTACACCTGGGAACTGGAGCCACAAAGACTTGGCTGGCTGACATGTCTTCAGGCAACTGGTCATACAATCACCATGATCTATACTCTCAATGATTAGATAATGGGACGGTAACATTCTGAAATACAGGTGGCCCTGACAACGAATACCATTTGAAAGCTGAATCTCTGAAAAGTGTAAGAAAAATGTATTAATAGTAGTATGGAGCAGTGTTTTTGTGAGTCCCCCCCTTTGTTTGTACATTAACGCATGTGCATACACAAACATGAAGGCAATGCAATACACACTGGTGTGGCCAGTATCACACAATTCTGCTGATCAACAGATGGAGGCAGTAACACACCAAGAAGCATTACGATGCACCACCAAAGGCAGTGAAGAAGACGACTGCAATCTAGCCAACACCGCAATAAAAAGTCATTTATGGCAAAGGAAATGCATTCAACACACTTGTCAGGCCTCATAACCTAACTTTGTTTACAAGGAAATTCCACAGGGCACCTCTGACATAAGAACAAAGCGGTCTGCTAAAGTGAATCACTCCAATTCAGGGACCTTTGCCTGTCCTTGGCTGACATAGTGACATGTACAAACGTGTCTGGAAAGCTGTCTACACAGTGACCCTTTACAGCAAACAAGATTGGGACACACTCATGCAGTGCTTTGGGCTAGAATGTTTAAGTAATATTTGCACAAACTGAATGCAATGACAATCTGTTCAGCAATCCATGAACTTTGTGTTCTGGCTGTCGTCTCCCTCTCACACACAAATATGACGAAGTAAGCTAACCAAATATTCCAGTTTTACATAACAGCGTGTTTCTTTTGCAGGAAGGCAAAATGTCAGCCTAATTAGATTATGATATTTATGTAGCTCTTGCAACAGAGAGGGTTGCTCCAATTGACTGCCTTTCACCATATTTACAATCCAGCTTCACAGAGGAACTCGCCCCAAGCAATGACTACAGCCAAAAGCCATTAGTGCACCCATTTGTGACATCACTTTCATCATTCATATTCATAAATCAATAGATATAAACGTCCTCTGAGATGCTGGAGTCTCCATCAAGCCTAAACATGGAAAAGTCACTTGAGATTGCTGTTTGAGAAATGCGCTCCAACATTTGGTTAGCATTTCACAGGAATGATCACATCTTACTGGGGTCCTATATGAATATTTCCAGAAAAAGATTTGTGCTGCTCTACCTAGTTTGAAGTTGGCACGGACCAATTTCCACATAATAATAACTTTAGAAAACAGCAATCAGAACCTGATGATGTCTGTTGGGTTGCCTGTTTACAATACCAGGACAATGTCACTATTTAATGAAATCAAAGGAAACCATATCTCTATAAACATCATTAAAATAAATTCATTACTTTGTATTAAATGGTGTTTTTTCTAACTTCAGTTTGATTGTTCCTTATTAGGTCACAAGTATAAATATCACATAATATATTAGAAAAATACTTGTGTTAATAGGTCAGTGGTCTTGTACTTGCTTTTCTATGCACTGAAGCACTCGAAGTGTTTTAACACCATTTGCCTGTTCATCCATTTGCTCACACAAGCATTCACACACTGGTGATACCACCGGGAGAGGCTTGGGGTTCAGTGTCTTGCCCGTGGACTAGAGAAGCCGGGGATTGAGCCACGCAGGTACTAGAGAACCTGTTATAAGTATTACTGTCATTACTAGCATACTATTGGCATTATTACTGATGTGTCTTACTAATCTGGTGGTAGAAAGTAAATCATTCTTAGCCCATCTAAAATAATGCTGTCCTGTGGTTGTTTAGTTTTACTCTCCTAATGAGAATAGCCACAGGAGTAAAACAAAGCTTTTACATACAAAAGTAACATATTGGAACATGATATAAGTGACAGTCAGCAGAAACGGTAAAGGAACCTCTGCAAAAGCATTTGTATGCACACATGCACAAGCACAGTGTGGGAGCAGAATGGCAGGTTGGAAATCAGCGGGTAACTGCACAAACTGAGCGCTGTTTCCCAGTCAGAGGCATGCCAGGTTGGACAAAATATATGTGCACCTTCAAATGATGGTTTGGAAAACATTTAGCACTCTCTGAAAAGCTCTCTGTACATTGACTCGCAGTACAATTACAAAGGAATCTGGTACTGTACAGTATGGCTGGCAACACTGAGTCAAGAGCCAGGTTAAAACTGGGACAACTGATAATGTTGCCACACAAATTGCGATTTAACAGAAATCCAGTTTCCCAGCATATTATTTTGTTAGAGCAGGATATCAATACCCACACTGCAAAGCCTGCTTCTTTGTGTAGTGTTGCCTCAGTGTGTCATAGTCACCTCCAAAACTGAAAGGGTCATCAGTTTAATTATATTAATAACAACAGAGTACGAATACATAAGTCCAAATAATATGAATTCCACAACAACAGTAATAAAAACGTAATACTTAGGAAAGGCAAGACAAGAGAGGACGTGTCCTTGGACCTGCATGTGTCCACATTATAAGGGAAGTTCTTTTATCCCCACACTGAGACATAAGCTATAGGCTCTGATAGGCAAGTGTACGAA